CTTTCTTCTTCATGGCAGCCTTTCACCTATTTGAAAGCTGTTATCATGTGCTCCCTGAATCTCCTTTTTGACAGATTAAACCTACGTAGTTCTCTCAAATTTCTCCTCCATGGCATAGGCAGACAAGGTTCCTTGGGTGAATTTGATATCTTTTATTAGACCAACCTCCATGGCATGCATTCCAACTAGAGGTGCTGAGTACATGGGGGCCCGAGGGCCCTGGCCTCCCTTGGGAAGAGGGCTGTCACCTGAAATGCATACAACTTTCCACATGTCATCTTAGGCTCCCTGCCAGCAAAAATAAAAGTTGGTGCCTCCGATTCCAACCATATTAGCATCTTTATCGCTCACCTCTGGATCTTCTCCAGTTTCTCCATGTGCTTGTTAAAATACAGAGGCTGTGCCTACTGTGGCCTACTAAGTGCTAAGTACAGCAGTACCAACCCCCACCCCGCTCCCCAATGTCTTACATATAATACTTCAGGTATTGCATCCCAAAACTGCATTTGGTTGTTTTGGGTGACTGTCCCATGCTCCTAACTAATGTTGAACCTGCAATCCACCAAAAACCCCAGGTCTTTCTCAGAAATGCCACTGCCTAGCCCATAATCTCTTGTTCTGCATTTGTGCACCTGTTTCTCCTTCCAGCTGTCTTTGTTGAATTTAATTCAGTTATCTAGTGCTCAGCTCTCCAATCTATTGCCCTCCTTTTGGATTCTCCTCGTATCCTCGCAGATGTTCACAAACCATCTCAGTTTTGCATCATCTGCAAGTTTGATCAGGAAGCTCTCTATTACAGCAGCCAAATGGTTTATAAAAAATATTAACCAATGCCGGACCCAGGACAGACCCCTGTGAAGCCTCACGTGAAACTTCCTGCCACTGATCTGTTTATAGTTCTTCTTTGTTTGTGGTTATTCAATAATTCTGATAGCAATTCTATCTATCCCTGCATTTCTCCAGTTTACTGCTGAGAATGGTGTAGGGGATTGTGTCTAAAGCCTTACTAAAGTATGGTTGATATTATGTCTACCATATTTACCACATTCCCTTTATCCACCCAGACTAGTTACCCTGTCAAAGCAGGAAATGAGGTTGGTTTGGCATTGTAGTAGGCTGCGTATTTCAGGGGTTGCAGCCCAGCTGCAGGTGGGAGGAAAGTGATTGCAGGCCTGCCTAGGAGGCCAGCTGATGAGGATAATTGGCTGGCCCAGACGAAGTTAAAAGCTCCCAGGGAAGGAAGCTGAGGGGAGAGAGGGAAGACTGTGAGGCTGGAGATTGCAGCAGGACCTGGGAAAAGACCGCAGGGTAACTTCCTTATTGTTTGTACTTGATGTTCGATGTTTTATGGCTATGTTGCATTCTGTGGGGCAAGTTTGCCTAGGAAAATAAAGACTGTGGTGTGCTACAGGCATGCTTTTAGAAAGGAGCATGCCTGTAGTCTTGGACAGGAAGTGTATGACAGGGTGATAACATTTAGAGGCTAAAATGTACCCAAACTGGAATTTGGCTAGGAGGCTGGCATTAGGATCTATACTCTTGCAAAACAGCCAAGGTGACATTGGGGGAGCTTTCCTCTTTGCCTGGAGGTGCTGATGATACCATGCCCTGCAGCAGTAAAGGGTTGTTTTATGGCCAATTAAATAATTGGTTACAAAATCTACATCCTGACTAGAATGCAATGAGGAATGAATCCGTTCACCCCTGTATGTAGAAATTTAGGGCCAGACCATATGAGGAAAGAGAGAACCTAAAAAAAATAATGGGTCTAGCCAGATTTGTACCGGTTGTCACTTTGGTTGCTTGTATATTTTCGTCTTCTTTCCTGTAGTTCTTTTTTTTTTTTTTCATTTATTCAAAGATCTTCAGATCAGGGGAATGTCTATTCATAAACATGTCAAGTGCCTGGCATGCTTTGAGGTGTAGGTTGTAGCCGTGTTGGTCTTAGCTTGCTAAGAATAATTTTTCCAAGTATAAAAGATATCAGGTTATCTGAAGAGCCTTGTCTGGCATGCTTTGAGGTTCTGTATACCAAGTACGTAACGTAGCTCAAAATTGCCAGTCTCCTTTCACTTAAGGGATAACATTTTCTAAAAGAAGTGAACAGAAGTCCAGGTCCCTCTGAAAGGCAGTAACATTGGTACAGTTCACAGCTGCTTTGCCAAGGTGGAAGGGGACCATACACTCTATTGAAAGCTATGGGATTTAGGAGCCTGCCTCACTTAAACATTTCCCCCCAGCCCACAGAATAGTGATGGCTTTCAGTGACTGCCAAGCAAGCCTAGTTTCAAACTTGTGATCTATAGGCTAGCTTCTACACTAACTGAATTCAATTGCAAATGTCCCCTGTCTTCAATAGTTCACATCCTATTAGTGAGAGATTCTATAATCAACCATGAATCCTTGGCGCTGTCTAGTGGCGGGGAGCTGGATTTTATTCAATATTCTTTATCCCTCATAATAGAACAATTCTCCATATATTATACAATTGTCTCTGAGAAAGATGAAAGAAATAGGGTACCATACCTATGTGCACATCTGGGGGAGAACCACAGCCCTGGAGGAATGGAAACACCTAGCGGCTGGTGAATTCTCCACTCCCAAATGTGTTCCTGGATAAACTTCCAACGTGGGTCAGATGTCAGGTGGTTACATGACATCATAGAAGACTGGTGAACCCAAGGCTCCATCTATAACTTGGCAATTATGACATCCTTGTGATTTCTTTTCTTTGGACCTTGAGGATAGCAGTGGTTAGGGCCTGGGACGTGGATCCAGGACAGCCTGAGTTCCCAGCCCAGCTCTGCTAGTGGCTTGCTCTTATGTAAAATCACTTGGCTTATTTCTGCCTCGGTTTCTCTCTCTGTAAAACAATACCTACTTCACAGAGGTGTGGTGAGGATGAATCAGATAAGAAGAGCAAAGCGCTGATTTAAAAAAAAATTTTTTTTAAAGGAAAACTTTTCGTGTTTGCAGCCAAATCAATTCCAAATGCGTGAGTTATTCAAGCACCAATGCTGGGATGAGTTTTGAAACTTGTAAGTGCACTCAGAAAAGAAGGACATAATGGGACACAGATGGCTTCTTTGGGCCAATCTGATATCTTTTATTACACCAACTCAAGTAGTTGGACAAATTCTTCTTAG